GGGCGTCTCGCTCCTTCTTTCGGGACCGCACCACACTCACGCCGCTTAGTCGGGCCGGTTGCGGTGTCTCTAGCTGACCCCTCCGGGGGTCCTGTACTGTCTCGCTTCTCCACAGTCCTCCCGTGTCCGGCGGCTCCCTCTGGCACCCTGTCTGGTCTCTACCTCCCCTCGTTCTCGACGAACCTGGTGAGTGGTGCTGACCTACAGGATGGGGGAGGTACACCAGTTCACTCCTGCGCGTCAGCGGGTGACGCACTGTACAGAGGCTAGCACAGGCCGGCACCTGGCTACGTTTACCCGTCAGCCGGGGTCGAGCCTCTACACACTGACCACTGCGTCTCTTCCCGTTACTGAGTCTGGTAGAGTCGCTTCGTCCGGTCAGGTGTTTGCTGCAGCGTCTAGGTCTGGTCCTGAGTCTGCCCCCTGTTTGTGGTCGTCTCTTGTCTCATGAGACTCTCCTCTGGCACCACCGTCTTGGTCACCCTCTCTCTGCTTCGGCTCAGAGGAATGGCCTCCCGTCTTCTTGTGTCTGGTCTCCCCCGGTCCCTCCCTCCCCTTCCTCAGGGCCCTGGCCCTGCTTGTGTCCCTGTGTCCAGGGGCGCCAGCGGGCTGCCCCTCACTCCTCCCAGTTTCCTCCGATAGAGGCCTCGTTGCAGACGCTTCACATGGACGTGTGGGGCCCAGCCCGCGTTCGTGGACAGGGTCACGAGCGCTACTTCCTGCTCGTTGTTGACGACTACTCGTGTAACACCACGGTCTTCCCCTTGCGCAGCAAGGGTGATGTCACTGAGGTGCTGATCGACTGGATCCGCGCGGCTCGTCTCCAGCTAAGGCGGAGCTTTGGCTCGGACTTCCCTGTTCTACGTCTGCACTAGGACAGAGGCGGAGAGTTTTCCTCTGGCCTACTGCGAGCCTACTGTCGCGCACAAGCATCCGCAGACCTTCACGCTTCCGGACTCACCGCAGCAAAATGGGATTGCTGAGCGCCGCATTGGCATGGTCATGGACGTCGCTCGTACGTCTATGATGCATGCGGCTGCCCCCCATTTTCTGTGGCCAGTTTGCGGTCAGGTACGCGGCGCATCAGATCAACCTCCACCCCAGGGTCTCCACGCCGGAGACCTCCCCAGCCTTACTGTGGACGGGGAGGTTGCGATGCCGTTCGGCGTTCCGGGTCTGGGGATCTCGGCGTTTGTCCGCGACTTGTCTGCGGACAAGCTGTCCCCTCGTGCTGCCTCCTTGCGTCTTCCTGGGTTCCCCCCTGACGCGCCTGGGTGGCAGTTCTACCACCCCACCTCTCGACGTGTTCTGTCCTCCCAGGACGTCACGTTGATGAGTCGGTCCCCTACTACCGGCCTCTTCCCCTACCGCACCTCCGTCCCTCCCCCACCTCCGCTCTTCCTTGTACCAGGTCCCCCCCAGGTAGACTCCCTCCCCCCTCAGGGTCGTGCCCCTTCAGGTGTGTCCCAGGTAGACGCAGTCGAGCCTGTCGAGGTCACTGGTGACTCTGGTGCTGTTGGGGGTGCTGAGCCTGGGGGGTGCTGGACCTGGGGGTGCGGAGTCTAGGGGTACTGAGCCTAGGGGTGCTGAGCCTGGGGTGCTGCTGAGCTTGGGAGTGCTGCGCGTGGGGGGTGCTAGCCTGGAGGTGCTACGCCTGGGGGTGTGGGAGTGGAGGTGCCTCCGCCTGGAGGTTCTCCGGGTGCTTCTTCTCGCCGGGAGCCACTCTCTCCACAGGAGCTGCGTAATGGTTTGCCCGGCACTGGCGCCGTAATGCTGGTGCTGGAGGTTCCTTACGGCTGCTGCGGTCACGGGTCCCAGAGGTGCTCGTACTGGAATACTGGAGCTGCTGGCCTACGGGTTTGACTGGAGCTGGTGCTGCTGAGGGTGTTGGCGCTGAGACTACCGCTGGCAGTCCTACTGGGGGTGCTCCTGGTGCTGCTGGAGGTGCTTGCTGGAGCAGGTGCTCCTGCTGAGGGTACTCGTGCTGTCCCTGCTGCTTCTGGCGTCGTCACGCGGCCTTGACCGTACTTTGTTCCACTCCTGCCAGCGTGTTTCTTGGTCTTCCTCCTTCTACTGGTCCTCCTCCTCCCTTAGAGTGTCCACAGCCTGTCCCGTCACAGACACAGCTACAGCCTGCCTCCCCTCTACCTGCTCCTTCTCCTACGCTGGTCCCACTGGAGGTCTTACTGAGCGTCGTGAGCCTGCGTCTCGTCCTGCGTCGCCTGTTTAGAGCTGCTCGCTGCTAGTGGTCGCGGTTTCGCGCTAGCGTCCTCCTCCTGTCCCTGGCACGCACCGGATGTCTCTGGCGTCCGTCTGTTGCTCCTCTGCATGCCCCTTGCCTTCCCCTCCTGAGTCCTCTCTTCCTGCACTTTGCAGACCTGAGTCGGACTCTCTTCGTGCTGCCAGTCCTACTGTCACGCGTCTCCTTGCTACTGTTGTCACTGACCCTTCTTTCGAGTCTACTGCTGCGTGTGCTCTCGTTACTACTGAGCTCGTCGACTTTGCTGCTCGCTGTCGCTTAGACTACGCTGCTAGTCTTGTCGCTGATCTGCGTCTGTCTGTCCTCCGTCCATCGGGGGTGAGTGTGCCCTTGGCACGGACGTCCTTGAGGACAGGCAGGAGGAGCTCCAGTGTCCGGCAGCTGCTTCACCTCATCTCGTGTCCGTACTACTTACCCCTGAGGGGACCCGGAAGCACTAGACATCCCGACTCCGCGCTCTTACGCGGAGGCGATAGAGGGTCCCTACTCCTCTCAGTGGCAGGCAGCTATGGATGCAGAGATGGCTTCCTGGAAGTCCACAGGCACCTACGTTGACGCTGTCCCCCCTCCTGGGGGCGAACATCGTCAGTGGCATGTGGATCTTCAGGGTGAAGCGGCCGCCGGGTTCTCCGCCTGTCTTCAAGGCGCGTTACGTGGCTCGTGGCTTTAGTCAGCGGCAGGGAGTTGACTACTTTCAGACCTTCTCTCACACCCCGAAGATGACCACTCTTTAGGTACTGCTGCACATTGCTGCTCACCGTGACTACGAGCTCCACTCTCTCGACTTCAGCACAGCCTTCTTGCAAGGCAGCCTGCACGAGGAGATCTGGCTGCGCTGCCCACCTGGCTTCACTGGGTCTTTCCCTCCTGGTACCCAGTGGAGTCTCCGGCGTCCAGTCTTTGGTCTCCGCCAGGCGCCACGTGAGTGGCACGACACACTGAGGACTACGCTTGCGGCTCTTGTGTTTGCTCCTTCTACTGCCGACCCGTCGCTGTTTCTGCGCACCGACACCTCTCTGCCGCCGTTCTACATCCTCGTGTACGTCGACGACTTGGTCTTTGCCACAGCTGACACTACTGGACTCGCCTACATGAAGTCGGAGCTGCAGAAGCGACACACGTGCACAGACCTGGGTGAACTGCGCAGCTACCTTGGCTTGCAGATCACCCGGGACAGAGCACGCCGCACCATTACCCTGACTCATTCACACATGGTGCAGCAGGTCCTTCAGCGCTTCGGCTTCACGTACTCCTCGCCTCAGGCCACTCCTCTGCCTACTCGCCACTCACGCTCTCAGCTCTGCCTTCGGATGAGTCCGTAGAGTCGAGTGGCCCGTATCCAGAGCTTGTTGGCTGCCTCATGTACCTGATGACCTGCACACGACCTAACCTTGCATACCCTCTTAGCATTCTTGCACGCTATGTTGCTCCTGGGAGACACCGACCAGAGCACATGGCTGCAGCGAAGAGGGTGTTTGCGCTACTTGTGCAGTACGTCGGGCATGGGGCTAGTGCTTGGAGGGTGGTGTTCAGTGGTCCTCACTGGGCACGCGGACGCTTCTTGGGCTGACGACCAGGCTACGCAGCGGTCGTCACAGGGTTACACCTTCAGTCTTGGTTCCGGCTCTGTTTCGTGGCGGGCTACCCGCTCGTCTTCTGTTCTCGGCTCCAGTTGTGAGGCTGAGATCTACGCCGGGGCTATGGCTGCCTAGGAGCTTCACTGGCTCACCTACCTGCTGACCGACCTTGGAGAGCCGCCTCGTTCTCCTCCAGTCCTGTACGTAGACAACAAGGCATGCTGGCCTTGTGTTGAGAGCAGCGACTGGAGCACAGGACAAAGCACATTGCTCTCCGCTACTTTCTTGCTCGTGAGCTACAGCAGCGTGGACAGTTGCGGCTTGCGTACGTGGCCTCTGAGGCCAACACTGCTGATGTTTTCACCAAGGCACTTGCGCCTTGTGATCATCAGCGCTTCTGCACTCAGCTGGGGCTTGTGCCTGTCTTGCCTCACTTGCTCACTTCTTGACCTTGCTTGTACTGTCACATATATATACTCCTGCTCTTGCTTGCTTAGCCTCGTATATATATATGTGTGTGTTCTTGCATGTGAACTAGCCTTTTGGCCTTTGAACTTGTGCTCGGAATGTGTGGTGACTTTGTGATCCACCCTGAGTTTTGCTTTGCTTTGCTTGACTGGTCTTGTGACCCCTTGTTCTCCCCCACTTTGCCTATGGGGGTGTGTCAGAACATTATAGCTTATGCTATTGTGTAGGCTATAGTGGGGTATCCCATAAGGGGTACAACCCAACTAGGGTTTCATTTTTGTACTCGCTTCATTCATAGTTCATTCCATTCTCGTTCAACTTTTCTCACTTATAGCAAACTAACAAAGGTGAAAGAGGTGCACCACTATACAAAGGAATTGCACATCAGCTACACTACAGGCAGATTATACTAAATAGATATAAATCCATTTTTACACACCCCCTATCTGCCTGAAGTGCATAACAATGTGCAGAGCCCCCCTTGAAGGGGTACACCTGTAAAACCCCATTATAGGGCGTGGGAACACCAGCAAGGGGCTCCCTCTGAAGCTGATAAGCAACAACCACCAAGTAACAACCCCCAAGCAGCATCTGAACCACCACGGTGGATCAGGTGCCCGGCTGCGGTTGAACGCCCCGCAGCTGGTGCACGGTGTTCGAGGAGCACGGATATGGGTAGCAGGCTCGGGTATCAACTAGGTGCTGTACGGGACGGGCCGCACGGAGGTGACGAGCAGCACGAGACCGGGCAGCACAGACCGGGTGGGGCACGAGCGAGAACTGACAGCACGGGTGGGGCACGAACGGGTATGGACAGCACGGGTAGGGCACAAACGGGGAGAACGGGGAAGCACGGGCAGAACGGGGCAACACGGGCAGAACGGGGCAGGAAACGGGCTGAACGGGGCAACACGGGCAGAATGGGGCAGGACACAGGCTGAACGGGGCAGGACACGGGCTGAACGGGGCAACACGTGGACAGAGGGGCAGCACAGGCAGAACGGGGCAGGACAACGCCTGAACGGGGCAACATGGCACGGAAACGGGCACGACACAGGCAGAACGGGGCAGCACGGGGAGAGCGGGGCAGCACGGGAGCACGGGGAGCATGGGAACACGGGGGCAGCACGGGAGCATGGGGGCAGCATTGGGGCAGCACGGGGCAGCATGGGAACACGGGGGCAGCACGGGGGCAGCATGGGAACACGGGGGCAGCACGGGAACACGTGGCAGCACGGGAGCACGGGGGCAGCACAGGAGCACGGGACGCACAGGTGAAACGGGTGGGGCACAATTGGGTACGGACAGCTCGGGTGAGACTCGTGGGGCACAACCGGGTACGGACAGCACAGGCACGTGGAACACGAGCGGACAGCACGGGCATGGGCACGGGCACGGGCAAGCACGGGGAACACGGGGCAGCACGGGCAGAAGCACAAGAAGCATGAGTAGCACTGGATCACGGGAGGTGCACGGTAGGAGATGAGAGGAGGAGGAGACGGCAGTTGCTGATGTTGCAGCTGGAATTTCACCACCCACACCCCTTGAACCTCCCCCCCCCACAGCAGCAGCAAGAGCAGCAGAGAGAGTGGGGGACGTGTGGCGGCAGTAGCTGGAGATGGATCACCCACCCCCTCAACCTCCCCCTTATACGAGCTGCCAACCCGGCAACTCCCCTCCCCCAGCCGTCCCCTTCGGACCAACAGCACACCTCCTCCCCTCCCACTGGAAACGGAGCCGGAGATGGGGGTGGGGTGGCAGTTGTCGGTGGGGGGGGGGGGGGGGGCGGGATCTGGGGCAGAACGGCGGTCTGGGTGCGGGTACAGGGTGCGGACGGGTCTCGCGGATGGGGGCACAAACATCGTGCGTGGTGCGGATGGCGTACGGGCGACGGGCACGGTGCGGGGTGCGGGTAGCGCACGGGCGTCGGGCAGGGTGTGTTGGTGCAACCCTACGGTTTGCACTCGGCTTGTTGTCCGTGTGTGCGTGCATGCGTGCGTGCATGGAATTGTATGAGGGCATGAGATAATATATATTTCATGCTTATAATAGTGTGTGAATGATGCGTCATGGTGTCGAGTGTGTGTTTCAAGTCTATAGCGAGTTATCGCTAGTCGCGTGTAACGCGGTCATTTTGTGTGTCCCGTGCGGTTTCTATTTTGTCGTGCACGGTTTCTATTTTGTCGCTTGTCAAACGTTCCGCGTGTCGCAGGTGTGTGCAGCAGACCCATCAAGAACTAAAGGATGAGTTTGTGATGAAGAACCCGAGCCTTGGTTGCAAGCTTCAAGTGATTTCGAAGCTCGTCAAAAAGGTACACTTCAAGATATCAAAATTCGTTACATTACAATGTGTAGTGTAACATTTATGTTGGTGTAGACCCTTGTGGAGGGTAGTTTCGAGACCCTTCTTGGTTGGGGACAGTGTGGCACTGTTCCGCATCACTGTACCTCGGCTCTTGGGGTTTGTAGGAGCGGGGAGTCCTTCCCAACTCGTAACCTTCCTAACTCTTCCTATCTTGTGTTCTAAGACTACAGTGGTTGCCATAGTGCCGTTCGTTCAACCGACGCTGTGTCGTCAAATCTGAGTGAAAGTGTGCGATCTAAATTGCTATTTGTAGGCGACATTAAGACGATCTAGATCCCAGTTCACGTCAATTGGAGCTGTGAGCAGATCGCTACGAACGTTTAAAGCCGCTGTGCAGAAATCTGACTATGCACTCTATCTTTCGTTTTAGGCACATTGAAGCCTACTGTGACTATAACAAGTGGTATCAGAGCGCCTTGGAGCAGCTGCGACAATGGCTGGACCTGAGGAAAGGGGTGGCAGAGGCGCTGGTGGCAATGGAGATGCCCAAACACAAGGCCAAGCCCGTGAGTCAGCCGTGGCGCCCGTGCAACCGACTCTTGGACCTTCTAGGGACGAACCAAGAGTGTTTGGCCTTGACAAGTTCAACGGCGACAACTTTGCTGAATGGTCCTTCAGAATTTGACCACTATAACCTGCTGGAGGTGATGGAAGGAACGGAGAAGCGTCCCGAGAACGACCCGGAGAAGAGCCCGTGGGTGCGGAAGAGCGCACAAGGCTACCTCCTACTTGGGCAAGCTTTGGGAGCAGTCAAATCCGCCACATCAAGCCTTTCCAGCGTGAACCAGAGAAGGGAACAAAGGCATGGGCTGCTCTCAAGGGTGTACACGCTCCTACAACAGCGGCAGTAGCTGTGGTGTTGGAACAGTAAATGGCGACCCTACGAATTGAGGAGATGAACCCGTGGAAGACGGGGTGCAAAAATTCTTCGACTTGTTGACGCGGCTTGAGGGAGCTGATTTGAACTATAGTGAGCTCCAAAAGAAGACCAAGTTGCTGGCCTAACTCCCAGAGTCATGGTCCTCACTCATCATCAACCTCAACCGAGATCTTCCCCGCCTCTCGCTCGAAGATGTGAAGCGAGCGATCACTCAAGAGGACTTCCGCCGCCGTGTGTTGGCGAGTGCGGATGGCGCTGGGGCAGCGAGCGTCGGCCGTGGATATGGCTCTAGAAGAGGCAGAGGACGAAGGGGAGAAAAGGTTTGGTGGCAGCAA